TAATTTGAGCTCTCCTATTCGAACTGACACTCTGTTAATTTCCTTCTCTTGTCTTATTGCTCTATCAAGTGTTTAAAGCACTATATTGAAAAGGAGTGGAGATAGTGGGCAGCCCTGTCTTGTCCCTGATTATAATGGGAAGGTTTCCAGTTTTTCTCCATTTAGGATGATGTTGGCTATGGTTTTATTGTATACAGCTTTAATTATGTAGAAGTATGTTCCCTCCAGACCAACTACTTCTAGGACTTTTAATGTAAATGCATGTTGGATTTTTTCAAATGCCTTTTCTGCATCTGTTGAGATGGCCATGTGTTTTTTGTCTTTAAGTCCATTGATATGTTTTATTACATTTATTGACTTACAAATGTTGAATCATCCCTGCATGTCTGGAATAAAGCAAACTTGGTCATGGTGGATGATTTTTTTTTGATGTGTGTCTCAATGTGGTTTGCAAGTATTTTGTTGAGTAACTTTGCATCTGTGTTCATTAAAGATATGGGTCTAGTTTCCCTTTTTTGATATATCTTGACCTAGTTTTGGTATTAGACTGATAATGGCTTTATAGAAGGAGCTTGGGCATTCTCCCTCTGTTTCTATCTTTTTGAATAATTTAAGCAGTATTGGTTGTAGATTTTCTTTCTTTCTGGTAGAATTCTGCTGTGACTCCATGAGACTAGACTTTTCTAGTTGGGAGATTTTGTATTACTGTTTCAATTTCCTTATTTGCTATGGGTCTGTTTATGCTATTGATCTCACCTTGGTTTAAATTTGATGGTGGCCATAATTTTAGGAATTCATCCGTTTCTTTTAGGTTTTCAAATTTAAAGGAGTATAGATTTTTAAAGTATTCCCTTACAATGTTTTGGATTTTTTTTCATGTATGTTTTGATGTTTCCCATTTGATCTCTGATTTTGTTAATTTAGATTTGCTCTTTCTTTCATTTGGTGAACTGGGCTAAGGGTCTGTCTATCTTGTTTAACTTTTCAAAGAGCCAGCTATTAGATTCATTAATTTTTGTACTCTTTTTTTCTATTTCATTAATTTCTGCTCTGAATTTTGTTATTTCTTCTCATCTACTAGATTTGGGGTTTGTTTTCTCCAGCCTTTCTGGAGTCTTGAGTTGTATTGTTAAGTCATTTACATGTGCTGTTTATGATTTTTTTTAATGTTGGCACTAAGAGCTATTAACTTACCTCTTAGGGCTGCTTTTAGGGTATCTCCCAGAGGTTTTGTTGTATTTTGTTCTTGTTTTCATTTTGTTCCAAGAATACTTTTGTTTCTTTTTTTGTATTTGTTGAGATTTGTTTTGTGCTCCAAAATGTGGTCAATTTTAGAATAACTTGCATGAGCTGCTGAGTGGGTGAGTGGAATTTTCTGTATATATCTGTTAGGTACATTTCATATACTATGCCATTAAATTCAGATGTCTCTGTTTATTCTTTGTCCATTTCACCTGTCTATTGAAGAAAGTGGGGTATTAAAGTTGCCCACTATCACTGAGTTGGTGCCAATCTCTTTTTTATCATCCTGGACTACTGATTTTATGAAACAGAGTGCTCCAGAGTTTGGTGCATGAATGTTCATGACTGTCATATCTTCTTGGTCAATTTTTCCTCTTTTTAAAATGTTATCTCTTCTGACGAGTTTTAATTGAAGGTCTATTATGTCAGATATTAAAATTGCAGCACCTGCTTGCTTTTTATGGCCTTTGCTTGAAATAATATTTTTCCGTTCTTTCACTCTAAAATATTTGTCTGTCCTTGAAGATGAGATGGGTTTTATTTCTTGATCCATTGCACCAGCCTGTGTCCTTTGCAGGCAAGTTGAGGCAATTGATATTTAGTGTTAATGTTGAAAAGTGTGGATTGTGTATGGTCAACTTTGTGTTTGTGGCCCTATTTTGTGTTTCCATTGATATGCCTTTCTTTATTACCTTTCTGTAACCTGTTGGGCATACTCATTCCTTTCTCTGTAGTGCTGGTTTGGAAGAGATGAATTCCTTCTGCCTATTTGTGTTACAGAAAATTTTCTGTTGCCCTTCAACCTTGATAGATAGTTTTGCTGGATAAAGTGTTTGGGGTTTGCATCCACAGTTGTTTAGAACTTGGACTACTTTGTTCCAGGCTCTTCTGCCTTTCATAGTTTGCATTGAAAAGTCACCTGTTGTTCTGATGGGTTTTCCTTTATATGTAACTTGTTTTTATCTAGCAGCTTTCAGTACCCTCCCTTTGTTTTGTACATTTAATGTTTTTACTATGATATGTCCTGGGGACTTTGTTTTCTGATCATGTCTTAATTGTATCCTCTGTGCTTCTTGAATCTCTATAGGTATATCTTTCCTTAGTTCAGGGGAATTTTCTTCTATAATCTTATTGAAGATCTGTTTGATGCCATTGGTTTGATTTTCTTCTTCCTGTATGCATATGATATATAGATTTGGTCATTTCCTCTTGTCCCACATTTCCTGAGTATTTCATTCCTGTGGGTTTGTTTGTTTGATTATTAGTTTGTTAATTTTGCATAGGCTTTGCTTAAGGAGTCCTGATCTTCAACTTTTCCTGCAGTCTTGATATTCTGTTTTCCATTTCATTCATTCTGCTTGTGAGACTTTCTCCTGTTGTTTCTATTTGGTTTATTAAGTCTTTCAGGCCTGTGATCCTTTCCATTTGTGTTTTCTTCACTATGCCTATCTGTGTAGAGAATTCACTTTTCAAATTATGAATTGTTTTAGATATTTCATTAAGGCTTATATTTCTATATTCTTGAGCTTCTGTCAAGAATATAGAATATAGAGCTTCTGTCTTTTCTCTGAGTTCATTGAGTTGTTTGCGTTTTCTTATAATTCTGTGATCATGTTTATGATTGTTCTTTTAAGCTCTGTGTCCTGGTGTTCTATAGGGTGGTTCTCAATGTTCTGCCTTTCTGTAGGACTCATGGGTTTTGTAGGGGACATATTTTTTTTTTTTTTTTTTTTTTTTTTTTTTCTATATAATTTGTGTTTTGGTGTTGTCTGGGCACATGGATACTTGTCTTTGGTAATGTGAATGGAAATTTCTATTCTGCTTTTGTTTAATTTAACATTGGTTCAGCATCCTGGCTGAGCAGACCTGTCTGCCTGATCTCAAGGCTGGGAATTTGGTGGTAAGGGGGCTGCCTGGGTGAGAATTTAGGGATCTAAGGTAGGATGAGTGGCTAATCTGGTTTGGGAAGGTAGTCCTGGGATTTGGGTTTCAGGAACCAGATCCGGCCTGTGAGAGAGGCTTTCAGGGACAGTGATGAGAAGAATGGGATAGCTAGACCTCCTGTGGAGAATCTATACACTAAATTTTTAATTCATTGAAATTGAACATTTTCACCTCAGAAGAATTTCCAAATGTCTTCACTTGAAATATACACACATCTAGCCTGATTTCAGTTTATTTTTCTTGGGTAATTATCACATGAACAAATAATAAAATATAATTCTTTAACATTCTACTGTCTGAAGCCTCTGAAATGCCCCCTATTGGAAAATTATCTGCAATTTGAAGAACTTGTATTTCTTAACTGGTAATAGTGCTCAAAATTTTGTCTCTCACTGTTGAATCCAATGATACTTGAATCCAACACTGAGTATGTCATGTCTATTTTAGTAAAAACAATTTGCATTATACACTTGAATACTTTACATATATTTATATGTATATATATAGTGATATGAATCATATTTATTTATACCACAGGAATCAAAACCGTGTTGTTCAGAACTAACAGTTATCACTTACCAATTGTGGACATAGCCTCAAAGTAAATTGAGTTTCTTACTATGACATATGTTCCATTATATTTTCTGTCTCAAATTTCAGAAAAAAATATTGGAAAGGGAATGGGATATTCCAATCAATACACAGTAGTCCAGTCTGGGTAGACTCCTGTTTTCTAATAACCAAATAATAAAAATATCACCCTCTGTATGAGTAGAGAATGCACACTGAATTTTCTCTTATCTATTTTAATACAAGGTGGTATGTTCACAGCTAACATCAACTACTTAGAGAATGTGGTAAAGTTTGGGAAGTAAGAAGGGGAAGAAATAATTGTACTCTGAGCATCGAATTTTAAACTTCTATTGAAAATGGGAAAAAAAAAAAAGACTACATGGAGAGTAAAATTGAAAAACAACGAACAGCTCTGTGTTCTTAAAAACTGAGTACAGCTGGGCATGGTAGCACAAGCCTTTAATCCCAGCACTTGGAGGCAGATGCAGGCAGATCTCAGTGAGTTCAAGGCCAGCAGGATCTACATAGTGAGTTTCAGGACAGCTGGGGCTACAGTGAGACCCTGTCTCAAAAAGATAAAAAAAAAAAAAAAAAAAAAAAAGAAAAAAAAAAGAAAAAAAAAAGAGTACAGACAAATTAATACACATTCCTTCTTTTCAATTTTCAAGGAATGTTGTCTTGAAAATTAAAATTCAATTTAATGAGGGTATAGAAATTCCTGTGGGTTATTTATCATACTTTTTTGTGTCTGAATATTTATTCAGGAAGAAATTACATCAATTAATGTACCACAGGATATATTTGGCTGTTCATTCATCAAAGTACAAAAATTAAAATAACTAATTTATACTGTACCATGTAGAAATTTTAATCGACCACCATTAAGATCTGTGCAGTCTACAAAGAACACTAATCAAAAATAAAATGGTATATATTTGTTGTTAAATGTTATATATATTTGATATAATAGCCCTTCTAAAATTTAGCTATACTTTTCACATTACATAAAAAAGAGCACCATATAGTATATTTTCTTGTCAAAAATACTGGAAAAATCTTGGAAATTCAAATAATTTCACATAAAAATATGGCGAATTTTCATTAAGATCTTTGTTTATTTTTCCTGATGATAAATGCAGTGAGTAACCACATTTAAGTTTAGAATACTCAAAAAAACATTTTACAAAGTTCATATTATTTTAACTTTTAAGGAATTTCATACATGAAAAATAAATTTATTTTCTTTCCACACCACCAATTGAATTAAAACAACACAGCTTGCTACTTCAACCAAAAGCTATGTTTTTACTTAACCCCTTCTTAACAGCTCAATCGGTCACGAGCAAAAGGACGACTGAGCACTTTTAAAAGGGAGAGAAACTACATTTTAAAATTTTATTTTAATTGAATATTTGTGGTTTTCACACCATACAATTTGGTTTTATCTATATCCCCTTCCTTATCCACACCTTCCAGCACTGTCCCCACCCAATTTACTGTACTGTCTTATATAAAGAACATGGCCTAGAGAGCCTTATTTGTGTCCCCAAATGTCCTTCAGCATGGGTCTATTCACTGGGCCCACCAAGAATCCCATTCCTGAAAAATATTGCCTTTTTCTGTCACAGCAGCTATCAATTGCCAAATGTTCCTCAGGTTGGGTTGGAATTTCTTAGCCTTATGCAGGAGAACTGTTATTTTCATCTTTTCCTGCCTCCGTTCCCTCCCCGCCACAACTCTTCCAGTCACCCCAACTGTCTCTCAAATGTATGACTCATTTTCTTTTAATCATTATCTTTGAGCATATATATGTGTATGTTTAACCAGTGTTTCTTGGGATGCCATGTGTTTAAGGCTGCCACTTTGGATTGTATAAACTATTGGGGGCCTCATAATTAGAGAAAAGTGATTCTGCCTCTTTCAGAAGCCATTGATTGCCTGTAACCCTTCATCTATGGGTGGGACCTTTTGAAATTTCCACCATCCTCATTGGCACCTCACTAGTACTGTGATTTTGCATTATGTCAAACTGTGGCTCTCTGTGATTGTTTCTATCTGCTGCAATAAGAAGATTCTTTGATGAGGTGAGAGCTATACTTAGCAGAAGGTACAACGATAAGTATTGAGAATTAATTCCTATTTATCATTAGAAAAATACATGTAATGTATTACATCTGCTTAGTTATAAGTAAGGGTTGCATTTTTTACAGTCTCTTACATGATATAATATTTTCTGGATTAATGTACATTTAATAATAATCTCGGGAAATTAAGTCTTTTATGCAGAAACGGAAACAGTCAATTAAGAAAAGAGGATTTCTACCAAAAAGGAGAAAACTTTTGGCAGCTATACATCTGAGAAAGGGTTGATTTCTATCGTATATAAAGAACTGAAAATACCTCCTAAATATCAAGAAAACAAATGCCCAATCAAAAATGGCCCATGGAACTGGAAGTTCTCTAAAGAAGAAATACAAATGGATAATGAATACTTTTCAAAGTGTTCACTATCCCTATCCTTCAGGGAGAGGCAAATCATAGGTACCTTGGGATTCCATCTGAACCCAATTAGAGAGGCCTTTATCAAACAAGCAAATGTCAAAAAATAAATAGTAGAAGGGTGAGGGGAAACAGGAACACTTTTACACTGTTTCAGGGGAGTATAAACTGATACAATCACTAGGGAAATCAATTTGGAGATTCCTCTCAAAGCTAAAATTAGATCTCCCATATGACCCAGTTATACCATTTGAGGACATATACACAAATGATGCTATACACAATGATAGAAGTATCTACATGTCAATGTTCAGTGTTTCCCTATAAACAATAGGTATGGAAATTTAATCAGCCTAAGTTTTTCATCACCTGATTAATGGATAATGAAAATGTGGTATATTTGCACAATTGATTCTCTTTATAACTAAGGAAAACTGAAATTATGAAAGCTGCAGGAATGTGTATGGAAATGGAAACATTATGCTGAGATAACCCAGGACCAGAAAAAAAATGTTGACTATTATATGTGGATCATATCCTCGAATTTATTTTTGTTTTTACCTTGGAATGCCTATAGGGACCAGGAATGTGGAAAGGGAGGCCTAAAAGTGTATAGTAATAGAAGCCAGGTGAAATAAAAAAAGAAGAAGGGACGACCATGACAATGAGTTTTAAACAGAAAAGGAGGTGGACAGGTAGATGAGAGAGGGAGGTGAGAAGAGGTTAGTCAAAATTATGAACTCACTTAAAAATATTTTTAGAAAAGAATTTGAATGAGATGTATTCCATGAATAAATAGTTCTAATTCCAGAAGCTAGGGGTTACCAAATGAAAATGTCTGTGCCAGGTATCTGTCAGGAAGGCCACAGAGACCCTAAAACAGCATAGGCTGCTGTTCTTGTTCTTAACAGCCCACTTGCCACAGACAACATACTCCACGGCTGTAGAACATAGAAAAATCAAGCTGTAACTGAACTGAATATTCCCTTACTACTGGCTAGCAGACATAGTGTTAGACAGTCATGGGAAATTATTGGATTTGATGGACACTGGGAAAGAGGGAGCCACTGTTTTATTTGTGTAACCACTGCTGAATCCTACATGCCTCCAATGGATTATACTAAACCCTCTATAAAGCAACCCATGTGGGGTCATGGCTGAATTAACTGCTTCACAAAGAAAGAAAAAGACATGAATATGAGAAAGGGTCATGTAGAGAGGTGGGAGTGTGATGGGGCTGGAAGGAAGGAAAGAGGGTTAGTGATGTGAAGGTAGTCATAACACAAAATAAACAAGTGTGAGATTGTCACACAATAAATTTAATTAAGAAATATAAACAGTTAAATAAAGATGAAGAAGGAAAGAAAATTTGAAAGATTCATAGGTCAAACTATTCTGAATATAAAAAGTAAAATTGGTGTAAAAATGAAAGTTTCCTAACTTAGCATTTTCTTGTGAGCTAAACTTTTTTCTACCCCCAAAGTGTTTTTTGTCAAGACATTTTATCATAGCAACTAGGACAGGAATGATTGGTTAATATGGCAATAATAATTGTTAAATACAATGCATAATTTTGAAATACAAGTTAAGCCACCACATGTAATAATGTGTTTTGGTTCTGATTTTCTAAAATATGATAGAATAAGAAAATGTATTGTTTTATCATTAGTATAGTCATGTGTTGTGTAAGACTAATTTCACTACTGTTGTGCACACATAATAGTTGTCTGAAATGTTCTGTTTCTTAACAAGTCACACCCGATGTCAGATTAAAGTTCAATAGAAAGCTATTTAAATTACCAACAATATTCTTCAAATTGTCTACTGTACTTTGAAAATATCTGTTACCTTTGTGAATCTTACTTTAGAAAAGTTAATTTAATTTGGTGAAGGTAGGTTATAATTTATTAATTCATTTATGTATTCCAGATTTTGTTTTGATACAGGGTCTCACTGTGTCACCCTGATCAAACTTTCCTTTTTGTGGCAGTTCTGCCTCTGCCTTCCAAATGCTGGAATTATAAGCATGCACTTCCACACACATGTTAGTTTTATTATTCTTTGTGTGTGTGTGTGTGTGTGTGTGTGTGTGTGTGTGTGTGTGTGATTCTCTGTATGTGTGAATAAATACATGATCACAGCACCACATAAAACCAGCTGTGGTGGGATGTGCCTGCAGTTCCAGCATCAGAAAGAGGAAAGAGAGGATAGAAATTACAAAAGAAAAGAGAATTTTCAGTCTCTTGGCATCACAACACATGCAGTAGACATCAAAAGGCTTCCCAGATGATTTGGTTGACACTCCCAAAAGCAATGAACAGAAACAGCGTGCTCTCAATCTTGCCTTTACTGGGACGATTCACCCCCATTTTTAGTTCAACTGCCTCTTGTGTTGCTTCACTAGTGAGTTGTCTTTATCTCTGTTTGGTTAACCTTCACTTTGGGCTTCTTGCCTTCATCCAAATTATTTTGCTGGAGCAAGGTGTGATGGTACTGGCTTCTAATCCCAGAACCAAGGAGACTGAGGAAGAGGACTGCAAGTTTGTATGCCTACCTGGGCAAGCTAATGAGTCTGAGGTCAGCCTGGCCAAACCAGTGAAACACTATTTCCAAAAAATGGAGATAACATATCTTCCTTTATTTTCTGTGTGCTGAATATATAAGTCTTGCCTCTTATGTGCACAGTTCTGCCATTCTTACAAGTAGTTCTTCAACTAGGATGACTGGACAAGCTGTTATAGCTCTGTGATATTTACACGCTTCAATATTACCAAGATGATTTTAGGAAGTACAGTAAGAGTCAGTTTACAGGCATTTAAAAAAATATATAACTAACTTGAATAGATAAGCATGAATAATACTGTAATGCTTGATGTATATGATGATATCTCTGTTGATAATCAAGGAACCAACACCAAGAGTGAGCTCTATTGTGAACAATGGACTATGTACGCTGGCATTTCAAGTTAGATTACATTGTGATATATAGCATTCTGATTCAGGATGTCGATAGACAAGCCTATGTGTGTTGTGTGTTGGCAGGGAGGATTTATGGGAGTGCATGGGAATGCTGTGTTCTCTCTCTTCAGTTCTGTTGTGAACTTAAAAATGACTCTAAATATAAAGAATATTAAAATTATACACACATAATCACATTTTATAGACATTTATAAACATAGCATTACAAGTAGATATATTTGGAATGCAAATTTTCCTTTCCCTCACTCTCAAGTCCTTCCCATTTGACATTCTGACTCTAAAAAATAGATTATTCCAAACACATTAGAAAGTCAAATTTATTATTTGAAGGATGTATATTATCTCTTAGAAGTACAGTGAGATTGTTCTTGATTATTTCTGCAATATTTGACCTTCAATTTACTTTCAGGCTTTTCATATTAAACAACAAATGTATGCTTTTAATAAACCTTTTGTTTTCAAGGAGCTGGAGAGTTGGGTCAGCGTTTAAAACACTGAACTTGCAGAGGACCCCGGTTCAATTCCCAGCACTCACATGGCAGCTGAGAGCTGTCCATAACTCCAGGGGCATCTGACAGCCTCTTCTGACCTCCACAGGTATTGTACAAAATGAGTACTTACACACATGCAGACAATACACTCATACACATAAAAAATAAAATAATAAAGTATTTTTAAAAACATTTTGTTTTTAAACAGTTCAAGAGTGAGTCTATACGTAATATGTAAATGTACGATTCAATGTTATATGTAAATGTACGATTCAAGTTTATTTAAAAGATGTATTCTTAAAAATATTTTATTATTTTTATTTTATATGTACGCGTGTATTGCCTGCATGTAGGTAAGTGCACTCGTTTCATGCAATGAATTCCCGCGGAGGACAGAAGAGGCTG